ATTTCTTTGTTGATGACCTTGTCGGCGGGGACCACTCATTTTTGGGAGCTAAGGAGCTACAGCAGTCCCTAATCGCTTTATTGAAGGGTGGGGGCATGAATTTACGCAAATGGTCCAGTAACTACCCAACTTTACTTGAAAACTTACCTAAAGAGCAGATTTCAACTACAAACAGCTATGATTTCAAAACCGAAGAACCTTCAAAAACTCTGGGACTACGCTGGAACACTGACACCGACACATTTCATCTTAACTGGTCTGTAAATGAAAATATAACTCGACTCACAAAAAGACTATTACTTTCGGAAATTTCAAAATTCTACGACCCGCTGGGCTGGCTCTCTCCCGTGACGATCACCGCAAAAATATTATTTCAAAAACTCTGGATGAGCAACATCGACTGGGATGATAAAGTTCCGCAAGATATTGAGTCGGAGTGGATAAGGCTAAAACAAGAACTGCCACTTATTAAAAACATAACTCTGAAGAGATGGATCAGCGAAACAAACCAATGTATTGAATTAGTTGGCTTCTGTGACGCAAGCGAGAAAGCTTATGCTTGTGTTATCTACAGTCGCGTGACAAATAAATCCGGAGTTCCGATAATTACATTACTTGCATCTCGAACGAGGGTTGCCCCAACAAAACAAAAAACTACACTGCCTAGGCTTGAACTTTGTGGTGCCTTACTATTGGCTAAACTGATGGAAAAAACTCAACAAGCTTTACCTGGATACCAACTAATAACACGAGCCTGGTGTGACTCACAAGTCGTGTTAGCTTGGCTCCAAAGCGACACGACGAAGCGCGAGACATATGTAGCTAACAGAGTGTCAAAAATCAAACACATTATACCTACAAATCAATGGCGTTACGTCAAATCAGAACTGAACCCGGCTGACTGCGCTACGAGAGGGATGCTACCAAGCAAACTAGTCAACTTTGACTTATGGTTCTATGGACCTCCATTTCTAAAGGATGTAGAAACCGAAATTAACCTAAATTGCAATATATTCTATACCAACATCGGCGATGATCATCTGTGTCAAAAGGAAACTTTTTCGGAACCTGGAAAAGAACATTTTATAACTACATTATTACATAATTGTAGTTCATTGACACGAGTATTACGAATAACAGCATGGATACTTCGCTGTATAACAAATATGCGCGCCAAAGGGAAACCTGAAACTACTTACCTATCAACATGTGAAATACATGAAGCCAACAAAATGATTATAAAACACGTGCAGCAAACTTTTTTTTGGCAAGAATATAAACAACTTTTGTGCAATGGAATTCTTTCTAAGAAGAGTGTGATTTTAAAGTTGAGCCCTTACCTGGATAACGACAAAATCATACGCATCGGTGGTCGCCTACAGAACTCAAACTTACCTCTGGAAATGAAAAATCCCATCATATTACCACGCACTGGCCGATTTACGCAACTTTTAATAGAACAGTCGCATTTAACAACATTGCACGGAGGAGCGCGGCTTACGTTGACTCATATAAGGCAGAGATATTGGATCGTCGGAGGCAATAGGGCTGTCAAAACTCAACTGCGAAAATGTGTTCGTTGCCACCGTTTCAGTCAAACTGACAACCATCAGATTATGAGTCACCTGCCACAACAAAGAGTAACTCCATGTCGACCCTTCACTTTCACAGGAGTTGATTATTCTGGTTATATCGAACTCAAGATAAACAAAGGCAGAGGCGTTAAAACTTCAAAGGGGTATATAGCAATATTTATATGTATGGCGACTAAGGCGGTACATATTGAACTTGTCTCGGATCTCAGCACTGAAACCTTTATTGCAGCCTTCCAGCGGATGAGTGCAAGACGTGGCACCCCTAAACACATGTACTCAGATTGCGGAACTAACTTCATTGGTGCTGCAAAGGTACTTCGTCAAGAATTTGAAGAATTCAAACAAATTATGACACCTGACTTCTTCAACCAACTAAACAAATTAGAAGTAGAATGGCATTTTAACGCCCCTGCCTGGCCTTCTGCTGGCGGCTTGTGGGAGGCAGCTGTCAAATCGATGAAACACCACCTACGTCGAGTACTAGGCGACCAGAAGCTCACCTACGAAGAGATGACTACTCTCTTGGCCAAGATCGAAGCGTGCTTAAACTCGAGGCCCTTGTGTCCACTTACTGAGGATCCTGAAGAATTCTACAACTGTTTGACTCCTGGTCATTTCCTTACCGGAAGCTCAATAATGACGTTACCATCATCCGATTACAATGATATTCATATCGGCGTTCGTCGCAGATGGCAACTGACAGAACAAATGTTCCAGCAATATTGGAAAAATTGGTCGAACGATTATCTGACTCAACTGCAAACTCGTAGCAAGTGGAACAAGCCCACAAACAACATTAAGGTCGGTGAAGTAGTATTGGTCAAGGATAACAACTTACCTCCAGGAAAATGGGCCTTGGGGCGCGTCCTTGAAACTCACCCTGGTTCTGACGGATATGTTCGAGTTACAACAATAAAAACTCAAACGGGAATAACCAAGCGGCCAGTTATAAAATTATCCCGCCTGCCCATAGACACTGAAATTGAAAATCACGAGGATCTTTCATCTAAACAAGAAATAAAAACAAACTTGGAGCGCTCAAAGAAAAAAGGAAGAAACAAAACATCTAAGCTGTTATTAGCAATGTTAACCATGTTTACATTTTTATCGGGATCATATGGCTCCATTGACGGCGTGTCGTCAAGCGCTCAAATTACTAACTTCGAACGTGAGCGCCCTATCTACTATGACGCAATGGGTAAAATGCAATTGATGCACGATGAATGGATACTCATTATGTATTATAACATAACAAACTACTGGGAAGGAACTCGTCGTATTGAACATTATTTTGATACTGTGAAGAACTTGTGCTACAGAACTAACTTACTATACTGCAGAGCGACAACAGAACAGCTAAGTCACGAAATGGAACTTCTACATTATTATAACACAATTCTTATGAATCCTCATAAACATTTAAGTAACAGGAAGAAACGTGGCTTATTGGATGGAGTGGGTTATGTAGCGAACAGCTTATTTGGAGTTTTAGATCAACGGTTCGCCCATAAATACGAAAATGATATACGAGCCATCCATACCAATGAAGACTTTTTACTGGAGCTAATAAAAAACCAAACAAGTATCGTCGAACTGGAAAATAAAGCGCTGAGAAAAAGTGAAGATAATATTCAACGTCAGTTTAATATGATCGAGAACTTCCTGAATCAAACTGAACTAAATATGGCGAGATTGAAGACAGAAATGCAAATAGTTTCCGCCAACTCCTATTTCAACTCTGTTTCGATGACAGCGTATTTACTCATGAACAACCTAAGATCTTTCCAAAATATGTTATTCGACTCGCTCACTAATGTCTATCGAGGACACATAGATGTGCATATGATTTCTCCTGCTCATCTCATACAACAATTAACGGACATATCTGGGAGCATACCAAAGGACTTATCACTACCAGTGCAAAACTACAAGGAAGATATAAAGGAACTCTACACTTTGATTTATGTGAGAGCTCGAGTCACTGAGAACTATATTATTTTCGAAATGCACATACCGCTAATAACTAATGAAGATTTCAACTTATATCAAATTATACCATTACCTGTCAAATTCGAGGAGATCATACGTACAGACAACTTTCAAATATATTGCAGTGAATTTGGAGAAAAATATATACATTTCACTCAATGATGAAGATCTCGAGCACTGCCGAAAACAAAGATCGGACAAATTCATATGCAAAACAAACAAACCTGTTTTCAATATGCATAGCAAAACAGCTCCGTGCGAAGCGAAACTGCTTTCGCATCAAAATGACCAGCCCTGTGACGTCGAACGCGCCTCATGCAAGAACGCGTGGATCGAGTTACATTCTCCTAACAAGTGGCTTACCATATGTTGTGATACGTGTTCATTACGTACCATATGCAATAGTGACGTTACATCACACACCATGACGTCATCAGGAATAGTGACGTTACCTCAGGGATGCCTGCTGCAATCTGAGGATTTTACAATCTACTCCCACAATCACTACAGCAGCCGCATGAAGATGAATTATAACATCGCAGCTAATACATTGGATACATCAGTAAACAAGATAGTAAACTTAACTTATAATCACACGCCACGTATGGTGTTTCAATCTACAGCTCGTGAAACGGAAGGGATCGAAGAAGACATTACTCGTTTGAAAGACAACGAAAAATTGACAACAATATCAAGTCATGACGTACATCAATATATTATTAGTTACGTGTTACTGACGTCAGCTGTTGCAATTTTGCTTGTGTTGGTTGTAAGGAAATACTGCCCTCACTGTTTGAAGAAAAACAACACAATCTCGAATAACAACCAACAACCACATCCTACAGACATCGAACTTCAAACCTTTTACCGAAGACATGACATGCAGAGGGACAACATTGAAGCAGAAGCTCCCCCGAAGAAGCCTCCTCGGAGTCTCAACGCCGGAACAAGCAACGCTACATTCAATTTCGATTAAAATAACAATTTTTGCTTTGTTAATATTTATTATTAAATTTTAAGGCTATTCCTTGCTCTTTTGTCATGTCAACCTTTTATCTCTTTTCTTTGTTTTTCTCGGGTTGCCAAGATGTACAGTTTACTTGTACATAAAAATTTGCTAACACCGCGAACGTCACTCAGGCCGCGTCAATGACCCGCGTTTACCTAGAGTGTCATATTATCGTAATTATAAATTATTATTTCTTTATTTAAAGACAGTGCAATTAGAAACGCGAACTAATTAACACACATTAGAGACAAGAATAGCCTGCACCTTAACTGTAACTTTGTTTACAATATATCTCGGTATTTATCTCTCTCTGATCTTTTTCTCCTGCACTCCAATTAACTAAATCTCAACAACAACTACATTAAAAGGTGTACAAACTGTACACAAAACTTCAAAAAAATATTTTTTTCAGTGAATTTTATTTAAGAATATGTTAATATAAAATATAAAACAATAAATTAAACATATTAATATAGATACCAAAAATTACGTTATGAATATTTAAGAACAAAATGTTAAAAAATAAATCTATACGAAATAAACATGTAAAAATATGTTCAAAAGGAAGTTGCTATTTCTTTTTTGATTTCTTTCCTTTTGGTGGAGGTGGTGGTGGTGGTGGCTCTGGCTCTGGTTCTGGCTCGGGCTCAGGCGGCGGGGTTGGTGGCAACTTTTTCTCCGGCCAAATTCTATGAATATATTCACATATGGCATTGATGTTAACTGTTTTCGTTTTCGTACTCTTTGGTCCCGGAAATAAAACTGCCATCTCATTAACTAAATCCTCGTCCATCGGAACATTCTCCAGCTCTATGCGATCCAAGAGAACCTTCACTGGTATATGCCTAGTGTAATCCTTATTAATCCTCAAAAAGAATAAAGCTATATCGACACGTCGCTTTCTCTCTCTCATCCCGAGATAATTTGCTCTTTCTAATATTAGTTTTCTTACATTGGGGCCTTCGATCGTCCAATTACTGAGGACTCTACCATATTTTATTGAAAAGTTTTTACGCGATTTCATCCTCATCACCTTCTCCAATAGTACAAGGAAAGTCTTCTCCACAGAAATTCCTTCCATCAAAAGAGTTTCTATTTTCACACGAGGCCTTAACATCTTCTCCAATACAGCATGGGCGTCTACTGTACTCAAGGGATTAAAAGATAAATCGAAAATTGTCAACTTTTTACTTTTCATGAGGTTAGAAATCATTAGTCTTATTGCCTCGCCATTGAATCTATTATTACTTAAATTTAACACTCTTAATGTCGGTACACACAAAAGAGATTGGATGGCACTGGCTATTCTTTCTCCTTCTAATGCGTTCCAAGATAGATTAATATCTTCTAACACTTCACTATTTGATAACTGTTCTAACATTTTAACTGCAGAGGGTGCATGGAAAAAATTGTTCCACGACAAGTCTAAATGTGTAATTTTATTTCGATATTCTAAGGCCTCAGCGAATGCGAATGCTGTAAGTCTCCCAAGGTCGTTGTTACTTAGGATGATACGTGGAACTCCTGCACCGTCACCGATCTGGCTAGCGAAACGTATTCCCCCCTCTTCACCCAAACAATTCTTTGAGAGGTTAAGAACTTCAAGACTCCTGTTCACAGCTAGAGTACTTCCTAAGCGAAATATTCCCGAAGATCCTATGCGACATCCCTCCAAGTTGAGTTCTTTTATTGTAGTGTTAGTAGTTAACATTTGTGATAGATGGAAGCACGCATCGTCATTCAGGAAATTGTTTGAAAGATTAACTCTACGCACAGTTTTATTGAACTGAAGGGCCATCGCCATAGGTCGGACCGCATATGGATTAACACCGTAGTAACTGATATTAATCTCTTCAGTAATAAGGCCAGCGTGGAACAATCCTACGACGTGTGTGTCCATTTCCTTACAAAGCGCTTTATATAAATCTTGTCCATCATCTGTATATATGACAGGTTGTTCTGGAACTAGAAGAGCTTGCGTGATCCCTGGATCCAGCACAGCTGGATAATTATAATAGTGATGTCTAAACACGTCACTATCAGACATGGTTATGTATTTGGCACACACCTCGCCACTACCGGGGGAATAAAGACCTTGGGCCATCAGTGCCTTTTTTTTGTTTTCTTCTGGAATGGAGACGGTTAAGGAAGACCACTCGCTCATCGGTGGTTCCTCTCCGGAGCTCTCGATCTCCACCGGGGCTAGAATCAGTGCAACTTTTTCTTCAGAGCTACTACTACTCGACGACATTGTGCTCAGAGTTGTAAAGCAATTACCGAAAAAATAAATAAAAAAATGTGAAATAAAAGCACAAAAAGTTAGTTGAACATATTTCGCGCACCTATAAAGACATTGTCATTTCTGACAAAATGACAGCGTTAACTTTTTTTTTAATTGTAGGCTATGACAACGAATTTTTATACAGACATACACTCATATGATGATGTCTTGTAACTTAAATCCAAAATATCCCGATGTTCCTTTTTCTTTCTCATAGGCAACTTTTTATCGTGCTTGCTCTACATGAAGTTACCACAGGAAATTGTATACTAGCGGGAGAAACACGAAGTTTACTCCACACTGTTAATTGCATCCTGGTCTTTGCTTTGAAGCAACGAACACCCTTTGCCGTCCACGACCCAGTAATTGACAATCAAAACGCGCCCTTTACGCGAACAGAAACTTAGTTAGCTTCTCGATGTGCAGGAAAATTAGTAACGTAATAATGGGACAGGGTAATAAGATAATGGAGTCGGGAGGTCATCCCGTGTGGAGGCGATCGGCGTCGCCCATGATCTAATTAAATGTCAATTCTCGGCGCCGTTGTAAGGTGATCTTGACTTTGCAGATGCTAAACAGTGTCAGCGAGAATTTATTTACGAAAGTTTGTTATTTGTGAGAAGTTTGAGTCGCACTAAAATAGACATTCTGTTATAAAGTGAAGCTGGAAATAAATCTACTTAAATACCTAGTCAACAATACTGGATCAGATAGTATAGTAAAATCTGTGTAACGATTTATGAAAAAAATTGTTTATCTCAGTAATATGTGCTCTTCTAGTTTTAGTACCTACGTAATCAGCTAAACAATAAATTTCAACAGATTTGTTATTCTAATTTATTGTTACGTCTCCTTTATAATTATATACCAAAATAATATAAAACGCATCGTCTAGATGTGGACTTGCTCTGATTAATACTGATCTAACATAAAATAGTTAATAAAAGACAACATTCCCCTGGTCTGTGTAAATGGCAGATTTCTGCCACGAGTTGAGAAAATTATTTTCTTTTTTCATATTTTGCGTTTTATCATATTTAGTAATGGTTTTAAATTTACACACCTAATATATAAAACAAGTTCGTAGAGAAACTATTCAGGATTGATTTAAGACATAAATTAAGCCTGGATGTACAGTAAGTAAAACACGAATAATAAGAGGAAAATCGGCCGAAAATCAGAAAAGATCCGACCGTGAAAACCAAAATACAGGGTTAACACAGACAGGGCTTAAAGCGCTATTTTGCTTACACAGTTGATTGCATAATTTATACGGTATTCTGATCCCAGAGCTGAAGCACTTGTGTCATTTGAAAAGAAACAACAACGGTACATACAAACACCCAAACCGAAGACAAGAAACTAAATTAATCCAACATGTAACTCAATCGCGAAGTTCTACATCGATATTAAACGAAATACAACACACTGATATCCAATACTGAGCATTTTAAATGTTCTCCTGAGTAAGAACAAGCTAAAGATCTACATATTCATCTAATTCAATTTTGAATCAAGTTTCATTTTATTTTGTTTTTTTTTCTATTTCGCTTGCATTATGTAACTTTGCCGTTGCGTTGCCATAATACCGTTCTATACTAATCCATCTCCAATTAGTGGGAGTCGCACTGTCAGAGCGGAGTGAGGTGATTATGATGTTCGTTAATTGATGGGGCCACTTCGTCTCGACCCCGATCCGTCATTAAACATCGTTGACGGATTGTCGGCTTAGTGCATAGTGGGGTCATTCGGATTGATATGATATTACATTCATTGCACTGATTGGTGACCCATGTATTTTTTTATAGAAGGCGTAGCAAATTACCAAAGAACCAGATGTTAATATTAGTAGTCAGTCGCGAAGTTAACTGATGCAGCAGAAAAGCTCCAGCTTCCTTGCAAGCATAAGCCTTAAACTTTATCACGATTAGTACCCCAAGCAAGAACAACTAGCGAGAAAGTATTCGTACTGTCATGTCAAATTTTCTAAAAAAAACCGCTTTGCCCCAATTTCTTCTTTTTTATTTTGAATTTTGAATTAAAGCATTAAATCGGACTCTCCGTTTCTTTATTCATATGGTTAAATAATAGTACAGTTGTAATAGTGCGTGTGTGTGTGTTAAATTTTTTCAGCTGATTGTAAAAATAATAATTTAACAATATATTAATTTAAATTATAAATATAATAGTAGTAATTAAGAAGTAAAATTAAGAATAATGAATAATACATTATTTGTAATTATATTTATGGAATGGCCGTTGCACGCTAATACAATTTTCTTTGCTATGCCCAAATGGGTAACATTATTCGGTCGATTATATTATATACCTACCGTCTTTTGTACAATTATGATATACAATAAATGTTTGACTTTGAATATTTCACTAGGTGAGATCAAGCTAAGACAGTGGGAATGAAAAGTTTGGAATAACTTAACCTGTGACTGTCCATAGCTCCCTTCTACTGTTCCTACTTATATGTAGATACGTACGAGTACATATAATACTTAAAAGCTCGAGCGCAAAAAACTATGGTCTTTAATACCAAGAGAAGTGCGGATGAGTGAGGTCTCTAATAGTATGTAATAAATTATTTTCCAACTACGCATTTAATTTTCGAAAACGGATACATTTTCAGACTCTATGGCCGCATCACCATAATGTTATCATCATAATTATAAATATTTATTATGAAAATGGACATAGTATTTTGGGAAAAATGCAATTTATTATCTTAGGTTGTAGGTATTAAAACATCATTATTTTAATATACATTCAAAATTAAATGTTTTACTAGGCCTAATGTCTAGGATTGAGCGGTAAGTGAGTAGATAACCCATTTTTTTAATAATAATAATAATAATAAATATATCTTTATTCAAATAAGGTCATACATTGCATAATAATACTAATAACAATATAAAATACAAAATAATGGATGCCTGAACTAGGTTACAGTTAAAATTGTACCTGTATTTCAGGCTTTTATGATCTAAATAATACATAGAATATTTAATAAATTAACAAATTAATTAAAACAGAACTTAAAGTAATCATTATATAAATGTTGGTAAATGTAAATAATGGAGTTACGTTCATTTATTTACAAATAAGAAGTAATTCTTCGGTCTGCTCGTATGTCAGGCTGTGCAAATAATTAAATATTACAGTTCTACAGTTAAAATAGTTTAATGTGTAAATACCTAATACTCTATTTAACTTATTATATAAGAAAGGACTTAGGAAAGTAGAGAATCTATGTGAAAAGATGTATTTTGAATCATGTGTAGAGATGCAGACTATATCTTTCCGTCTTTTGTTAGTGATATCAGAGCAAAAAGGTGAAATGGTGTGTTGTTTTAATATGGTGTGCATAATGAAAAGCTGGCGAACAGTTAACACATTACAGTATTTGTAAAGTTGATGCGTAGGATATAAGAAGGGAAGTGAATTGGCTACTTTTAAAATGGCTCTCTGAGCTCGCTCGAGGGGGATTAAAATAGTTTTGAGAGCTCCACCCCATGAAGTTATACAATATTGAATTACTGATTGGCATAAGGCCTGATATACCTGTTTTATTAGTTTTGGACCTGCAATGATACGTAATTTTTTAAAAATATACATTTATTTACGGATCCTGACTACTAGATTTGCAATATGCTGTCTAAAAGATAATGTGTCGTTAATTAAGATACCAAGATATTTTATATGGGATGTATTCTGTATTAAAGGGCAATCGCATTTATTGACTGAAGGATATTGGCATTGGTGTGCGTATAAGTTAGGATTTGTAAACCCATGACAAGGCTGGCGCATAGAAAAGTGAATATAATTGGTTTTGTCAGTATTCAGTGTTAGTAAATTGCAGCGAAGCCAGTTATTTACACCATTAAGACCAAGTTGAGCTACCTCATATAATTCTGACCTACTATTGGCGCTAAAAATCAAGGCCGTATCATCGGCGTAAGATATAATTTTACCATATTTTAAATTAAGGTTACATAAATCATTGATGTAAACGAGAAAAAGGGTAGGGCCGATTATACTTCCCTGGGGAATACCATAGCAGGTCATTTTCTGGTAATCACTTTTAATATTTCCTATTTTAACGCATTGAGATCGATTGTCTAAATAATCTGCAAATAGTTTTAACTGCGTTCCTCTAATACCCAATGCTTCCAACTTTTTTAGAAGCTTCGGAATTGAAACGGTATCGAACGCTTTTGCTAAATCAAGAAAAACAGCTAGAGTATGCTTTCCTTTGCCTAGTTCCTGAGTAATATAGTTAGTCAGGTTATGCACCGCATCTGCTGTTGACAACTTTGCCCGAAAACCAAATTGCGTAGGTGACAAATAGTTATTTTTTTCCAGGTAGTCAATAAGCCTTTTGTTAATAATTTTTTCTAATAGTTTTGATAAGGATGGAAGCACTGATATTGGTCTATAGTTATTTAATTGATCTTTACATCCAGATTTATAGACAGGAGTAGCTACTGCTTTTTTTAAACATTGTGGAAAAATACCCTGCGAGAGGCAGATTTGAAGAATGCGTGTTAACGGTGGTATTAAAATATGCTTAAAAGTTTTGAGGATTTTATTGCTAATGTTATCAAAGCCGACTGCACTGTCATCTTTCAAATTTGTAATTATTTGTAAAATTTCTTGTTGGTCGGTATCTAACATAACAAAACTATTCCTACTGGTGGTAGCGTTAAGTGACTGAGAAAATAGATTTAGAGGTTGGTGGCGTTCTGCAAGGTCTTTTCCCATATTAATAAAATAGTTATTTACATAATTGGCTGATATAAGCGGTGAAGGATGGGTTAATAGTAAACTCGAACACGATTCGTGCCTTTTTGAAGTGTAGGTAAAATTTTTAATATGTCTCCAAAGGCGTTTGCTATCCTTGCCTGCTTTGAGTAGTTCATTTTTTTCATAATTTGCTTTTAATTTTTTCAAAAGATTATTAACGAAATTCCTGTATCTCCTATAGATAACTAGCAATGTGAGGTTATCGGGATATTTTTTTGTCCTCATATGAAGTTTATCCCTGTGTCTTATACATCGAATAATACCCGGGGTTATCCAAGGTTTGATATTTTGATATTGTTTATTTGAAGCAACTACAGACGTATTATGTAATATAGCTTGTTCAACATTATTAATTAAA